CCCCAAAACCCCAAAACCCCAAAACCCCAAAACCCCATTAGTTATAAAATAATTTGTCAGCATGAACCTGAAAAATATGAAGCCTTACAGGAGGAGAAAAAGTAAGACAATGTGGTTTATCCTACTATAGTTGAAGAAGACTCCTCTTCTAGATACAGTTCTATCACCCTAAGTCCTTCTCCTAGGAACAAAAGGGATGGTTTTCTGGAATACTTCCACAAACTACTCAACAATGATAATAAAGTTGCAAAAAGTACTAATTAACTTTTAATTTCGAATTTTTCTTCAAGAAATGTTCCATATTTTTAGAGCCTAGCATGACCATCATCAACGAGATATTCAACTTTGACAAAGACAAGAAGAGTATGGTACTCAATAAACTCTAGAGTTATTTTCATTATCTAAGCATTTCTTTTATAATAAAGACCACACTCAGGATAAGGAAGAGAAGCACAAGAAGTTCCTGGAGTTCCATCTAAAATTAGAAACTGCTCTTGAGGAGCAGAAGGAAAGATTCAATAGACTTCACAAAGGTAGCCCTAGTTGTTTATTTTGCTAGATAGGATAATCAACAAAGCTAAGAGAATAGCTAACTCCAAACTTAAACTGAAGAAGAAATGTGATATACCTCTCACTGATGAAGTAATGATCAACCTAGGACAAGCTGGTAACTAATTCTGCCTTACTCTCCAGAGAAAAGTCACCCAGAACTTCCAAAACCGAGAGAGAGGAAATAACAGGAGTGTGAATTACTCTCGTAATAACTAAATTAATTTCAAATAGACAATCATAAATTCCCACAACTAAAGCTAGATGAATCTGTACTAGTCCTACCAGAGGAATCGATGAGCAAGCTAGCTTATATCCAAGAAGAAAGTAGACCGAAAAGGTCTCGGAGATATCCCAGAAGTGTGAATATAACTATGAAGAAGTATTTAGCCTCCTTACTTTGGTATAGACATGCTTATCCCCAAAGGGAGATCTCTCAAGAAGGTATGTTAGCTAGCCGACCTTATTTAGATATGGACAGAGTGCTAGACTCACTGAGGATTAAGTCCACTCAAGAGGAAATACCAACTGAGGATATTGCAGTTAACAAGAATAAAATTCTTAAGTGGGACAGTATGCAAGAATTATTAAGAAAAGAGCATGACCAAAGAGTTCTCCAAGCTTTGATCACCCAAGGAAGTACTTAACCCCTTCTAAACCTCTAGAAATCCAGGCTGAAGAGGAAGTGTACCTCAAAGGTGTAAAAGTGGACAAGGCAATTTGTGAAATTACAGAAGAAAACCAAAAATTCTTCAAATTCTACCTCAACAAATTCAGTATCGACTCCAACAAGCTCAATCCTTTCATTACTCCCCCTTCAGGTACGCCCTTTCTCCCTATCTCTTAGGTCTCTCACGCAAGAATGGGCCCAAAAGGTACGAAACCGGCTCTAATGTCCCTAGGAAATAAGCCCAAAAGAGTCAAGAAGAAAAGTATCAGTAGATATCCCATACTCCCAAAAGTAAGACTGCAGGTTTATTTATAGATGAACTTGAAGAGTAATGACCTGGGCTGGTGGGCAAGGCTGGGTTTCAAGCTGGGGGCTAGGCGTTTTGGGATTTTGAAGAATTAGCATGGGTAGTTGGGGGATGGGAGGGCATGGGGTGCAGGTGGGATGGGAGGTTGGGGATTGGGACATTAGGGATTGAGTGTTTTGGTTGAGGGGGATTAGGATTTTGAGGGGTATTTTGGAGCAGATTTGATGTGTTTGTTGTAGTAGAGAAGCCTGAAGTTAATGATCAGAGGTTAAGTCTGAAGAAAGCTCTTTGTGATAAGATTAAAACGATTGATAAAATTGCAAAAGGTAGTTTTATTAGTTAGTTGTAGGAAAGTTCAAGACGACTCGAAATAAGACATTGAATTTAATTGAAAAGACACTTGAAAGTAAAATTACATGCTAATTTTTGTAGGCCCTGCACTAGAATGATGTAACAATAAAATACCAATTCAAGAAATTCGTAAATATCTTATTTGACTCAAACTAGAACACGAAAAGTTGCCATTAAATCTTTCTCCAAGAGACCTATCTATCTTAAAAGTAATTTATACTACAATATTTTAGGATTTTACTCCAGATAAACCCCGCACACTAAAATCTTCGAAAAAGGTAACCTCTCCGCTCACTCTAGGATGCGCTCAAATCCTATTTCAAATCTCTCAAAAAGTGCATCAGAGCTCAAGAACAACTGAGTTGTCAGCTAGAAGACACTCTGGCCACGAACAAGCTCCAAATGGGCCATACCAAAATCTCTGCTGAAGAGAACCAAGGACAGTCACTCATCCCTGCAGAACTGCTCAACCCTCGCTTGCAGCGTAATTTCAACAGCAAGATAAAATTCTGGTGCAATGAAGAAAGATTCAATCTGCCTCTGAATGTGAAGACTCAGGCTGACTTCTCCAAGTATCATTCTGTGGCTAACCAAAGATTCAGCTAACCAATTTCAATTTTAAGGGTTCAGAAAGGGGTTTTGGGGTTTTGGGGTTTTGGGGTTTTGGGG